TCACAGAAAGCGCTTGAGGAGTTTGCAGTCCTTGTAGAGGTGCTTGACGGGGTAGGCGTGGTTGGTGCTTGGACTCTCCATGAGCTTGTTGAAGTGGTCGAGCTGGCCCTGCTGGGGCTGCTTGCCCGCACAATCGGTCACCGATCCTTCTTGTTCTTTTTGCCCCTCTACGTGGAGGGGCCCTCGTCTTGGTCCTCGTGCTTGGCCTTGGCCTTGCCCTTGTCCCATCCTCCACTAAAGACTGCTCCGACCGCCTCCTCGCAGGAGGTGTGGTTTGTGGCGACGTCGAGCAGGTCACGGGTGGTCCGAGGCTTCAGACAGCCGAGCTTGTGGATCAAGGACTCACAGGTTGTCCCCGAGAGGAACGCGCTGATAACGTCCACGTCAATGACATTAAGAAGGGAGTTGCATCGTTTTGAGAACCTATGGATGTAATCCCACAGGGACTCGTTGGGCTCCTATTGGCAGCTCTTGAGGTCCTAGGAATTCCCAGGACAGACATACGTCCCCTGGAAATTCCCGATGAAGATCCTCTTGAGATCCGCCCAGTCGCGGATGCTGTCATGCGGGAGGAATTCGAGCCATGCTCGAACATGTTCCCCCACGTAGATGGGGAGGTACTAAATGATGAAGTGGTCATCATCCACTCCTCCGGCTCGATAGGCGAGCCGAAGTCTTCGAGCCATATACCGGGATTCGTCTCCTCGGTATATTTGGCGACGTTGATAGGCGGTCGGAAGCGCTGTGGGAACGACGCTCTCTGGATGTGACGTCCAAAGGCCAGTAGTCCCGGCCGTCTGGGTTGGGACTCCGGTGGTTCGGTGGGCGTCCATGCCTGGGGTGCGTTTCACCGCTGATGCCATTGCGCACTCCTAGGATAGACGGTGGCTAGGTGCCACAATGTCGCTGATGCTGGAGTCGTCACTTTCAACCTCATCATTCATAAGGTCGTGGAAAGAGGTGGGAGTGTAGCCCGCCATCCCCACAAATTCAGATCTAAGAGGGGGCGGCGTCAGCATCTTTTGGAGCCCCCGTGCGCACACGTCCACGAGGGATGCGAGGCCGTAGGGGAACTAGTTGCATGGCGGTTGCGGTGGGAACAACGGGGTCCCTCCGGAGAGTCGGCGGAAGATATTGAATAGCGAATAAAGAACAATATGTACGTTACTCACAGTGGGGTTTGAGCCCAGCGTGGGCTCGGAGCGGAGCGCAGACGTCTCGTCATTGAGGTCGCTGGGTGTCCTAGAGCCAACGGAGGGTGCTCCTCCTCCGATGGGCGCTGGGACAAGTGCCTCCTCGCGGAGGTGAAGCACGCCAAGCCGGTCGGCGACGAAGTCTAGCCTTCCGAAGAGGAAGGCCTAGGACGGCTCGAAGATGGGAGGAACCCACATCCCAACAGGTGGGAGTGTTGGAAACTCCAACGAGCCGAAGCGAGTCGTATCGCTTGAGCCCACCATGCTGAAGATGGCAGAATGGTGGGCCATCCGATGATGAAAAGCATGAACGTATGGCGTCCTCCCAACTGTCGGTGCGAAAAGTGACCAACAAGTAAATATTTATCGTTTTGCCATACGTTGTGATTAGATGTGGCCTAGCACTCAATGACACAGGGTTTATACTGGTTCAGGCAACGTGTCCCTACGTCTAGTTTGAATCGGTCGGTGACTTTATTCCTGAGCCCAGGTGCTCAAAGTTTGCTATGGGGTTACAAACGAGTGGGAATAAGATGGGGGGTGTTAGATATCCGATCGGACTCTTGGACTGAAGGGTCGAGAGTGACGGGAGCTCCTACGTGCGCTAAGTATTGGAACGTACGCTCTGTGTAGCTTTAGGGTTCTAGAGCAGTGAAGTTGTTCTAGTGCTCTAAATGCCTAAGGCTAGCAGAGAGAGTCAGAATTGATCCTTCTGTTGTTCATGATCGATCGTTCGAACCATCCCCTTTTAGGAGAGAGCGCATCCCCTTTTATAGGTGAAGGGGATGGCCTTACAAGTGAGAGAGTGTGTGTGTGCCTTAGTCTTGTTGCCCATGCCGTCGGGTACAAGATGGTTTGTCGGCGCCCACAGTATTGTTGATGCCCAGATGCATGTGGTAGGCTCCATCGTGCTCTTCTGGTATGGCAAATGTCGGCGCCTACCATACTGTAGGACAAATGTCGGCGCCCACAACATTGTTCGTGTTCTAACATGTCTAGAAGGTTATAAAGTATCCTTCTGACTTGGTCTGACAGTGCTGTCCTGCAGGTGTGTAGGGTACGGTCCTCGGTTTTATGGTTGACTTGAGCGCCTTGCCTTATCTGCTCCACCTGATTCTTGGGTCCTTACCGAGCTGGCGTCCCCGTTCGGTCGTTTCTAGTCGGCTCCCACCGTGCCGGTCGAAGAAGAGCCGTTGGTAGAGGTTCGGTGTATTCCCGGTCGGAGAAGCGGGTCAGAGTCAGAAACGAGCGTCGCCCCTCCTTGGCCAGGCCTTCCGGTCGGAGAAGCGGGTCGGAGTCGGAAGCGAGCGTCGCCCCTCCCTGGCCAGGCCTTCTAGTCGGAGAAGTGGGTCGGAGTCGGAAGCGAGCGTCGCCCCTCCCTGGCCAGGCCTTCTAGTCGGAGAAGTGGGTCGGAGTTGGAAGCAAGCGTCGCCCCTCCCTAGACAGGCCTTCCGGTCGGAGAAGTGGGTCGGAGTCGGAAGCGAGCGTCACCCCTCCCTGGCCAAGCCTTCCGGTTGGAGAAGTGGGTCGGAGTCGGAAGCGAGCGTCGCCTCTCCCTGTATAGGCCTTTCGGTCGGAGAAGTGGGTCGGAGTCGGAAGTGAGCATCGTCCCCTCCTTGGCTAGGCCTTCCGGTCGGAGACTGGATCGCTCTTCCGGCCTGTCGTTAGGCATTTGGGCCGGCCCAGGAGTTGTGCGTCGTTCGCAACGTTGTCTGCTGGACTGAGCTTTTGCTGGGAAGCAGGTCCATTAGGGACCCTGGGTTTGAACCCGACAGTTGTATTCATTTTATTTTTCATTTTCATTTTCATTTTTCTCTCACGTTAATGGAAGAGATCTAGTGGAGGTTGGTTGCAGCAGGGTGTGGTCCACTCATTGTTTGAGATCTGGTCGTTGGTGGTTTTAGTTTTTTCAATCACTTTTTGCTATTGTGCTTGGCTGATTAATTTCTGGTTGTTTTATATTCCCATATCTTTCCGATTTTAATTAAATCTGTTTGAGTTGTGACGTATCAGTCTTTGGTTGATTTAAAATCTGGTTGATTCAATGAAACAAAATCAACCAAAAGTTGTGTAGTCACTAAAAAAGACCGTGATACCTTCTATTTCGCCAAAAAAAAAAAACCGTTATCGGCCCGGGTGCAGCAATGTCCATGCAGGGCCCACGGCCCAGCCCACCATGTAAAGGCCAGCTAGCTCCATCTGCTCGTTTCACGCCCCCATCGCTCCATCAGCATGACAAAGCCCACATGGAACACGCTAATGTACATGGATTATTGTCAGATATTAGATCACGCGACCAGCTGAAATCTGGACTTGGCATTCTTTAATTGCAGCCTCGCCGAGTCGCCGGTGACAGCAATTCCTACGTACCCATGCCAGGAGCAGCCGAGCAGGCATTATTATCCAGCCTTTCAGCCAGCCTGGTCGCGTTCGCGCGTCAGAGCATGCAGGATGCGGGCACCACTGAGGCACTGATGATGGGCCTCGCCAACGTGCTAGTTTGTGGCGGCAATCACAGTGTGTGGTCTCTCTTTCTGTCACGACGGGTGGGGGCGTGCACATTAGCGGCATACGAATCAGGATACGGCCGAGGCGCCGTTCTGATTACCACCATGTGCCAAGTCGTGGCGTGGTCGTGTGTGATGGCGTGCTGTTCGGACGATGGTTTCTGTAGCTGATAAGCCGACTGAAATTGATTTGTTACGAAAGAAAAATACTATTCCAAAGTCTACCCTCTACAGTATGTTCACCTTCACCCCTTCGGCGGGTTGGGGTCTGGGAACTGAAGGCGTCGTGCGCCGGAAGAAAGTTAGATGGACCTAGGTTCTAAACTCCGTTGCGTGTGCCCATAGCTTGGATGAATGACGTGTGGTGCCAGCGAAAATCAGACGGCTGAGGGGTGGCCGCTCCTCCGCGCTACTAGCCGTCTCCCGCACATATGGCTCTCTCGTCCGTGGCTCCTGCTGCAAGTCGGCTTGGCCCCTTTCTTCTCCCCGAAGTAGGGCTCCTGCACCAAATCGGCCAGGCGCGGTGGACGGCTTGGGCGCTCAGGTAGAGGCTCAGGCAACGGCAACAGCACCGGCGATGGTTTAGGTCAACAGATCGGCGCAAGTAGAAGAGGGGCCCGGGGAAGAAACTCTGGCATCGGCGAAATGCCGGCATAGGCCGCGCCGTAGCGCAAGTAGAAGCGGATGGAGAGGGCGCTCTTCCCCGAATACGGCGGGTACCGGTGGCGCGGACCTCGGGTACAGGCGACGACGACATCTGAGGAGCGTCGCGATGGCCGATGGGAAGGACAGGCCGAGCCGATTTGGAGCCGAGCCGTCAGCCGATTTGGCTTCAGTCGAGACGTCGTGTACAGCTGCCGTCCGATGGAGTTTCCAACCACGCGGCATCGATCGGCGAGGGGGGCGCACGCGCAGCGCGCTGGAACCATCGCCCACACAATTTTTTTTTCCGCGACGGCAATCCACACAGGATTCGTGGGTTACCAATTGTTGACTCGTTCACATTTAAATGAAAAGATTGTCAACTCGTTGTACTCACTACGTACTTACAGCATGAAGACGAGAATGAGCTTGTTCGGGTATCGAGAATGAGATTGTTTTAGCGCAGACAAGCAACAGGAGACAGATTTCCACACAGCCTAATTATCACCGGCACGGCAGCACATGGCTTGCACATCAGCAGTTGTTGAGCACGCCCCGCACATCATTTCTTGCCTTGCCTGCTCTCTCTGTCCCGGGCCCGGGGCCAGACTTGGCAGCCAGGAGACGCAACGCCACAGCCATCAGCCAGCCGCCATCGATGGTCGCCGTCTTCAACAAGGACGTCCTGAGCTGGTACCTCATCACGATCAAGCTCAGGGAGGCCGTCGACGCCAACCTCCAGAAGTCCCCGCCGCCGAGGGACCTGCCGCTGCGGCTCACGAAAAGCGACGCGTCGCCGCCGCCGCCGCCGCCGCCACCGCTCCAGCGCCAGTCGGAACAGGACCGGCCGGCCGCCACCAGGTCGCGGGCGCTGTCCCCGGCGCACAGCCCCAAGCCGCAGGACTCGGAATGGGTGATCGCTATCCGCGGGAAGCTGGCGCAGGCGCGCGCCGAGGAGGCGGTCTGCCCCTGGGCGCGCCTCTCCGTGTACCGCGTGCCCAAGTGCCTCCGCGACGGCGACGAGCGCGCCTACACGCCGCAGGTGGTGTCCATCGGCCCGCTCCACCACGGCCGGCGCCGCCTGCGGGAGATGGACCGCCACAAGTGGCGCGCGCTGCACCACGTGCTCAAGCGCACGGGCCACGACGTCACCGTCTACCTCGGCGCCGTGCGAGCGCTCGAGGACCGGGCGCGCTCCTGCTACGAGGGCCGCGCCGCCGGGATGGGGAGCAACGACCTCGCCGAGTGCCTCGTGCTGGACGGCACCTTCGTGCTGGAGCTCTTCCGCGGCGCGCCGGACGGCGGGAAGGGCTTCGTCGACGACCTCGGGTACTCGCGGCACGACCCCATCTTCGCCATGCGCGGGGCGATGCACGCCGTGCGCAACGACATGATCCTGCTCGAGAACCAGGTGCCCCTCTTCGTGCTCGACCTCCTGCTCGGGATCCAGCTCGGCAACCCGGAGCAGACCGTCGCCAGCCTCGCCGTGCGGTTCTTCGACCCGCTCATGCCCACCGACGCGCCGCTGCTCCGTAAGGACCGGTCTAAGCTGGAGTCGTCCGTCGGCGCCGACGCCACGGCGGCGTTCGACCCGCTGTCGGGCCCGATGCTCCACTGCCTCGACGTGTTCCGACGAAGCCTCCTGCGTGCCGGCCTGCAGCCCACGCCGCCACCGCCCGTGCGGCTGTGGCCCAAGAAGTGGTCCGGGCTGCGGCGGGTGGCCGACAAGCGGCGGCAGCAGTTCGTGCACTGCGTGTCGGAGCTCCGGGAGGCAGGCATCAGGTGCCGGCGCCACAACACGGACCGGTTCTGGGACATCAAGTTCGACAACGGCGTGCTCCAGATCCCGCGGATCCTCATCCACGACGGCTCCAAGCTGCTGTTCCTCAACCTGATCGCGTTCGAGCAGTGCCACATGGACATCGCCACCCCGGGCGGCAACAACATCACCTCCTACGCCATCTTCATGGACAACCTCATCAACTCGGCCGAGGACGTCAAGTACCTGCACGACCGCGGCATCATAGAGCACTGGCTCGGCAGCGACGCCGAGGTGGCCGACCTCTTCAACCGCCTCTGTGAGGAGGTGGTGTTCGACATCAACGACAGCTACCTCTCCGGGCTGTCGGACCAGGTGAACAGGTACTACGACTACAAGTGGAGCACGTGGGTGGCGAGCCTGCAGCACAACTACTTCAGCAACCCATGGGCGATCGTCTCCGTCGTCGCTGCTGTGTTCCTGCTGCTGCTCACCATGGCGCAGACCTTCTACAGCGCCTATAGCTACTATCGTCCACCCCAATAATGATCGATGGGTATGTCCTACTTCTATCAATCGGAATTGCACGTAGTCAAAGTTTGATATCTCCTGGACCGTCACTGCGCAATTCGGAATTCCTAGTTTGCTGATTGCGTGATTCGATCGAGGGATATAGTTGTAACCGATTTCTTCTTTTCGATTTTGGTTATTCTTTGTCAAGGGAAGATTTCTTCCATTTGAATTGTTATTGTACTTGCTCCGGTGGGAGATGGCACTTTGACCACATAATTAATTTAAGAAAAATGGTTTAATAGTACCCAAATTAGTTGGTTGGGTTGTGCAACCTGCCCACTCAGTTTAAGTCATCGACTTTGCACGGGTGACTCGAGTTCAAGTCCTCGACTTCGAACGGGGTAGAGAACACAGACACTGATTGACGAATAGATCCGCCATCTATTTTAGCACATTTGAACAAGCTAAATGTGCTACATTTAATATAGATTTAAATACTACCCCGTCATCCTAAGTAATGCACATCTCATACTTCGAGAAATCAATTAATTTCAAGATTGACTAAATATATATAAAAATATTAACATTCATGAAATCAAATAAGTGAATTAATCACTCTTTATATTTCATATTAACTTAATTTAGATATATTAATATTGATATAATTTTTTATAAATCTAGCTAAACTTAAAATTAGTTGACTCAAAATAGGAGATCTGCTGAAAAATTCCGCCACCATCAGATACTATTAAAACATCATAACATCAACTAGAACTAACACATTATTATAGTTTCCATCCAGTTCCATTAACATGGATAAAAATACCCTGGCCCGTTACTTGAGAACACAAACACTGTTTGATGAATAGATCCACCATCTATTTTAGAGTGCGTTTGAGACCGCTTAAAATCGGACCTACGGTCGTCACACCACGAGAATAGAGAAAATCACGCCAAACACTCCACCGTAATCGATGATTCTTTCCACCACCGGAGGCACAGAGACCATGAGATTGAACTAACACTCGCGTTTCTGTACCATAGGGTGAAGGTTGGGAACAGATAGCGCACCATGCGGTGGCTGGGACGGGTCCCAAACACGCCCTTAGCACATTTGAACAAGCCAACACAAGCCAAATATGCTACGTTTACTGCAGACTTAAACACTACCACCCCCATCCTAAATAAATGCACGTGTTGTAGTTCGATAAATCAACCAATTTTAAATTTGACTAAATATGTATAAAAAAAGTATCAACATTCATGATATCAAATAAGCGTAATTAAATTAATCACACGATATGTTTTTATAATGAACTTATTTAGATATAAAAATATTGATATTATCTTCTATAAGTCTAGTCTAACTTAAAATTAGTTGACTCCTCAAGATACAAGGCACACACTTATTTTGGGATAGAGGAAGAAAATAATAAAGGACAACTGGACAATTTCTAACACATAGTAAAGGCTAAATTTCAGCACATAGTAGAGACTAATATATTCAACGCATGCAAGTCTAGCATCACATAAACAGAGGACAAGTTTTCGCGTCAACAAGAGTAGCACAATAGAAGTTTGAAAGCATAGTAAGGGCCGTTTGGAATGCGTGGAATTTTTTTGTTCCTTTATTCTTCCTATGAAATTGAACTAATTTCTGTGAAATTCCTGCATGATTCCTGTAAAATTTCTGCTTGAACATTGCCCTAAAAGGTCTTTTTTAGATCTAACTTGCACAACAAAGACCTAGTTTATGATTAGCGTCCTGACCCTGGTTGCATGTCTAGTGGTGTTGTTCCGCTCCTTGTTGTCAGTACTGGACTTATGGGAGAAGTAGGCGATGCCATCCTTCATGTTGGTGGGCCCAGACTAATTGTAGTAGAAGCTACCATCCTTCTTGTTGAACCCGGGCTACCAAACTTTTCTCTTGTTTTCCTACACAACAGTAAGGTAATGAAGTCATTAATCAATAAAAGAGTATTAAGCTCCAGGTGGCAAGAGATTTAGGGCCTGTTGGTACAGGTCAACTTCACTGGTGAATTAGCTTTTGTTGGCTTTGGCTCTAAAAGCAGCTCTACTCATAGAGCTAAATCTGTTTTGGTGAACTGTTTGGTAAAACAACTGCTCGTGGTACGCAAATTAGTGAAGTGGCCATAGTACCCCTTTCTATTTTCTTCCCCCTCTCTTTTCCTTCTCTATTCCCTTCCCTTATCCGCTCATGCGGTCTCTCAATCTCTACCACAAGGGCGCACTGCCTCCGCCCGTCTCCGGTGAGTGCATCGTGTCCCTCTCCCCCCATGCCTGCAGCTCCCTCTGTCTCGGCAAACTGCCTCCACCCCCATCTCCGGTGAGTGCACCATGTCTCACGCCCCGACCACCTAGGCCTTGGCGACCCGCCCATCCCCACCCTCGCTACTTCCACTCCCGCCGCTCCCGTTCTGGGCGACCCGCACTGCGCCAGCCTCCACCCCTGCGCCGGCCCCAGCTCCTGCAAGTCCTCTGGCCCCACGCCAGCTCCAGTGGCCCCACAACCCTCCACCATCGCGCCAACGGCCCCGCGGTTCTGTTGACGGTTGTGAGTGCAAATATAATATTAAGGAATATGCAAGTGCACAGACTACCATTGTAGCATTTCACCGGGAGTAATCCGGGTATCGCTATTTATAATTTTACCACTAGGAGGGACGGTTGGCATTAAAGAGATTGATAACTTATACTTAAGATGCTATCAAATAACTTATTCACTTACTCTAAACAGGGGTAAGATAAAAGATATATGTATATGATGAGTTTAGTATTTGATAAGTTTAATAAGTTTGACATTCAGAGAGAAACTCCATAAAGTAGCAATAGCTAGTCTAAGTTAAATACAAGTGAGGTTAATTCCTAAGTTATTCTTGATTACAAGTCATAGCATACCATCATTTTATATACTTAATAATAGCAAAAGATTATCTCTACTTTCATGCATAAGGGACATCTCTAAGAAGTAGCATAGCTAAATATACTATCTCCCTCATGACCGGGTCCTGCTAGTCCTACATACAAGAGGTGGATTACAGAGAACCTCGTAGTTGTCACTCTACTTGGTCTACAACACGTTCTGGCATGTAGGGGGCATCCATAGGCAAAACATTGTTAAAGCACTACGCCTACACAAGTTTGGCTACTCAACCAGTTTGAACACTTGATCGAGCACTCTGTGATCCTACGCATAATCATATGAACAACTTCGACTATACTAAGCACATAATCAAAGCATACTACGAACTTGATAACTAAGAACATGATATAAATAAAGATCAAAGCCATAATATAAGATAAATGTATTAGATACAAAGGATATACCAAGCCTCCAGATGGCTAAATCTGGAATTTGAGCAAAAGCCCGACTCTACTTTGATCTAACTAGACTAAGCTATGCTAAAGCACTGAGTTTGTGGGAGCTCTTCTCCTCTCTGAATGGATCCTCAATGGAGTGAATTGGGATTTCTTTGAGGATGCCTCTTTGGAGAGGGTCAGGGGGTACTTTTATAGGGGAGATGGAGTAGGGGCAAGTCATTGCCACGTCATCGATCTGTGTCACGACCTCATCTCATCCCTTGATTCAAACTGACTTGGAAGCACGGTGGAGATTGATCCTCATAGGCGGTGGAGAATCCACGTCGAAGGGGAACTTTATAGGTGGGGCCCACAGGTCGGTCCGCCTAGGGGTGGGGTCGATCGCCCCCCTGTCAGTGTCTCACCCTGATCTTTGGCGGTAAGTCTTGGATAATTGTCTTGAAGCCCTTTTTGGTTGAGTTCGTTGCAGATCATCAAAATTACTTCACGTGTTATGTCCCATTTTGGCCAGTAGAATGGCTAAATTCACCTGCATGCAAATATTTACCATGACTTGTGGAATTCATTAGTTTAAAGCTTCTAAACCTATGGTGATGTTTGATTTTAAGGATTTGAGCAGGTAAAATTATCGGTTTATTTTGGCGATAGAGACCGTCAACAGGCGCTCTGCCCTCGTGTCGGCTCTAGCTCTAGCGACCATGTGGCCCTCCACACCTGCGCTGGCTCCGATCTCAGCCTGGGGGCAAATCCATGTGTGTCAGAAGAAGTTGGACGAAGCTGCATTTCTCAGCTTCTTCTCTCTCCTCCCTTCTCTAAGCGCGATATCCGCAACTTCTGCGGTGGAGGGGTGGATGGTAGGATGAGCTGGTTTTCAACTTTGTGAAGCTAGGAATAATCCCTACTAAATAGGCCTTTAATACATGTAGACTTGATAGGACACTACTAAGGAGATGCTTTTTAGAGGTGGCTGGGCTGTGTAGATTCCCAAATATGCAATTTGTAGAGGCAGCTGCCTAGCCGTGCCCCTACAAATGAGATTTGTAAGCGGCTAGCAACAAGACACCTCTAGAAATCGAGTTTCTAGATCTAGCTCGAAATAGTGCTTATAGAAATCATTTTCCAGAAATCATAAATTGGGCCAAAAAATAACATTTTTCATATCTATGGATGCACCGAGAAGTCACAAGTCCCCCGATTTAAAATAGCAATTTTTTTCCTAATGTGGGGAGGCTCCCACAAGTCACAAGTCACATGATTTTTCATGTGAATCACACGCGCATACGGCCATGGGGGTTCGAAGCCATGACCTCTAGCCTCGCACATAGCTGCCTATAGCTGCCTTCGCCACTCTACCCTAAAGTCACTTCTAAATGAAGGTTACAAACATTCCCTTCATATTCATTTTACCTGACTTTGAAATAAGTACTTGGGACCCTAAACTAATTCAAATGAAAAAACTGTCAACTATAAGTTGTATATCTCTAGAAGATCTACAACTTTGTTTTTGAACGTTTCCCCATTCTTGGCGCGTAGTGCTTTTCTTGCTGGGCCATGCCAAGGGCCATTGCACAAGTGGTCCTAGGCTCAAATCTAACCTAGTATTCAGTAACTTTAACACTAGTGGTAGTGGTAGGTCCATCAAGAGATAGAGAATAGAAAGAATACAAAATTGTGTGTCCCTAAAAGGAATA